CAAACGTGTTGCACTCTACCTGGATTTGTTTTTTTTTTCATGAACGTATAAGATAACAGATAGATTTCAAGTTTTTAATAATGTTCAGTGTACACCAGCTTTCGTTTTCCTGTGTTTTAATAGTTCTTATGTCTGTAATATTTATGAATTTATGGATTTTTTTAACCCTTGTATCAACTGTGGAATACAATACCTTGAGAGCACCATTTTTATATTGAATAAATAACACAACTGTATCAAAATACGTTTTGTAAACGGTAAATTTTTACTTACTACTTAAAAAAAATATTTTATAAATACATTATTACAATCTTGTAAAGTAGCGACATATTAGGTCTTAGTTTGAAATTATATTTCATAAGTTCAAATTCCGCTTGGACTTCCTACATCAAATTTGCATTAATTTTAGGAACGTGGTTTGCCGCCTTGATGTCAAATTAGATTGTATCGCTTGGATAAGTTGGTAGGGAAGGAGGGAACCTGTGGAGATAATGTGAAAAAAATGAATTAAGCAATTTATTTAATATATTAGGTTTGGTGTGATATACAATGACTTTAAGTTATGGGATACTGCTGCAGGGAAGGAAAGATTTGAAATCGAAATAAGTTGCAACAGCCACTGTGGTAAATCAGGATGACAGGCAAGATGCAGCTGGTCGTAGTACTGCTGGAGGTGGTGGTGGTCCTGGTGTAGTTGGTGTTAGTGGCGGTGTTGTTCCTGGTGTAGTTGGTGTTAGTGGCGGTGTTGTTCCTGGTGTAGTTGGTGTTAGTGGTGGTGGTGTTCTTCGTGTAGTTGGTGTTAGTGGCGGTGTTGTTCCTGGTGTAGTTGGTGTTAGTGGTGGTGGTGGTGTTCCTGGTGTAGTTGGTGTTAGTGGTGGTGGTGGTGGTGTTTCCTGGTGTCGTTGGTGTTAGTGGTGGCGGTGGTGTTCCTGGTGTAGTGGGTGTTAGTGGTGTTGTTCCTGGTGTAGCTGGCGTTTAGTGGTGTTCCTGATGTAGTTGGTGTTAGTGGTACTGTTGTTCCTAGTGTAGTTGGTGTTAGTGGTGTTGTTGTTCCTGGTGTAGTTGGTGTTAGTGGTGTTCCTGGTGTAGTTTGACGTTAGTGGTGGTCCTGATGTAGTTGGTGTTAGTGGTGTTCCTGATGTAGTTGGTGTTAGTGGTACTGTTGTTCCTTGTGTAGTTGGTGTTAGTGGTGTTGTTACTGGTGTAGTTGGTGTTAGTGGTGTTCTTGTTCCTGGTAAGTTGATGTTAGTGGTGCTGTTGTTCCTGGTATAGTTGGTGTTAGTGGTGGTGGTGTTCCTGGTGTAGTTGGTGTTAGTGGTGGTGGTGTTCCTGGTGTAGTTGGTGTTAGTGGTGGTGGTGTTTCCTGGTGTAGTTGGTGTTAGTGGTGGTCCAGGTGTAGTTGGTGTTAGTCGTGTTGTTCCTGGTGTAGTTGGTGTTAGTGGTGGTGTTCCTGGTGTAGTTGGTGTTAGTGGTGGTGTTCCTGGTGTAGTTGGTGTTAGTGGTGGTGTTCCTGGTGTAGTTGGTGTTAGTGGTGGTGGTGTTCCTGGTGTAGTTGGTGTTAGTGGTGGTGTTCCTGGTGTAGTTGGTGTTAGTGGTGGTGTTCCTGGTGTAGTTGGTGTTAGTGGTGGTGGTGTTCCTGGTGTAGTTGGTGTTAGTGGTGGTCCTGGTGTAGTTGGTGTTAGTCGTGTTGTTCCTGGTGTAGTTGGTGTTAGTGGTGGTGTTCCTGGTGTAGTTGGTGTTAGTGGTGGTGTTCCTGTGTAGTTTGGTGTTAGTGGTGGTCCTGGTGTAGTTGGTGTTAGTGGTGGTGGTATTCCTGGTGTAGTTGATGTTAGTGGTGTTGTTCCTGGTGTAGTTGGTGTTAGTCGTGTTGTTCCTGGTGTAGTTGGTGTTAGTGGTGGTGTTCCTGGTGTAGTTGGTGTTAGTGGTGGTGTTCCTGGTGTAGTTGGTGTTAGTGGTGGTGGTGGTTGTTCCTGGTGTAGTTGATGTTAGTGGTGGTCCTGGTATAGTTGGTGTTAGTGGTGGTCCTGGTGTAGTTGGTGTTAGTGGTGGTGGTGTTTCCTGGTGTAGTTGATGTTAGTGGTGGTCCTGGTATAGTTGGTGTTAGTGGTGGTGTTCCTGGTGTAGTTGATGTTAGTGGTGTTGTTCCTGGTGTAGTTATTGTTAGTGGTGTTCTTGTTCCTGGTATAGCTGGTGTTAGTGGTGCTGTTGTTCCTGGTATAGTTGATGTTAGTGTTCCTGGTGTAGTTGGTGTTAGTGGTGGTGTTCCTGGTGTAGTTGGTGTTAGTGGTGGTGTTCCTGGTGTAGTTGGTGTTAGTGGTGCTGTTGTTCCTGGTATAGTTGATGTTAGTGTTCCTGGTGTAGTTGGTGTTAGTGGTGGTGTTCCTGGTGTAGTTGGTGTTAGTGGTGGTGTTCCTGGTGTAGTTGGTGTTAGTGGTGGTGTTCCTGGTGTAGTTGGTGTTAGTGGTGGTGTTCCTGGTGTAGTTGGTGTTTAGTGGTGGTGTTCCTGGTGTAGTTGATGTTAGTGGTGGTGTTCCTGGTGTAGTTGATGTTAGTGGTGGTGTTCCTGGTGTAGTTGGTGTTAGTGGTGGTGTTCCTGGTGTAGTTGGTGTTAGTGGTGGTTGTGTTCCTGGTGTAGTTGGTGTTAGTGGTATTGTTCCTGGTGTAGTTGGTGTTAGTGGCGGTGTTGTTCCTGGTGTAGCTGGTGTTAGTGGTGTTGTTCCTGGTGTAGCTGGTGTTAGTGGTGTTCCTGGTGTAGTTGGTGTTAGTGGTGTTGTTCCTGGTGTAGTTGATGTTAGTGGTGTTGTTCCTGGTGTAGTTGATAGTGGTGGTGTTGTTCCTGGTGTAGTTGGTGTTAGTGGTATGTACTGTTGTTCCCTGTGCATTTGGTGTTAGTGCTGGTGCTGTTCCCTGTGTAACTGGTGTTAGTGTTGGTGCTGTTTCCTGTGCATCTGGTGTCAATGCTGGTGCAGTTCCCTGTGCAGTTGATGTTAGTGCTGGTGCTGTTCCCTGTGCAATTGGTTAGTGCTGGTGCTGTTCCCTGTACAATTATTGTTAGTACTGGTGCTATTCCCTGTGCAGTTGGTGTTAGTGGTACTCTGCTGATTGTCGGTGCTGCTGCTATTGATGCTCTTGGTGGCGCTGCCAGGATGCGGCTGCTGGGTGGTAGTGGTGCTACTGTAGCTGTGATAGTGCTGTTGTCCCTGAACAAAAGCGAACAAATTTCCCGTGCGCGTTGGGCGTGTGTTGGCGGTGTTGCTCACTGGCAGATTTCTTATTTAAACTTGATTCCCTCGCTCCAGTCATTTTTAAAGGCTGCGGCACTGAATAGAAGTTGATTAACAGCCATTCATGTTTTTTTTTTTTTTGTTTCTTTTTTTGGGGGGGAGGAGAGGAACAATTTCTTTTGATAGCGATTAATAGCAGTCTTCAAATTGATGCTTTAGTATTTGACACGGCTCATTGGCCTTCGGGGCATCAAAGGATACAAGAGTACAAACAAAGGACACAACACCGCCTATAGAATAATGTACCATCGTGATAAATGAAAAATCAAGACGGTCGTCAGACCCTTTATGGCAAGAGTCCACCAGATGCTATTTTTGTTTAGCCTGTTTTTTTGTCTTGTTCTTTCGGTTTCAGTTCAAGGTTTTGGGAATGTATATAAAAAATGAGTCTCCCACTGGGTCCTGTTCCTGTCCCTTATTTTTTGTATCCTTCCTTCGTCCGTATAGTTTTGTCCTTCCCCTCTCCATCCCTTCCGCATGCGACAAAGTTTACACAGAAGCCACAAATCAGAGGGATAATAGGAAAAATTATTGTGTAGAGCATAGAAATTCACCATGACCATCTAATGAAGTTGTTTAGTTGAGGCCTCAAATGAACATTCAAACTCCATTATATCTTCATTTGTTCATCCAGTTCGATAAACCAATGTGGGTCATTTAGCAGCTTAAGGAAAAAACTTGGAATGTTCTGCTTTAGACTGGCAGCCCATTGCCTCTGGAAGCATAAGTTGTGCTGCACACCACCGTCATTGTCTATTGTCTGACTCTGACTCCAATCTCTCATCCTGGAGCGGAGTAAGCACGCATCCACATTTTTTCTCTGTATTTATTTTGGATTTATTGACACTTGAAGGTAAGGAGCTACTGGTAAGTGGTTAATAATGATATATTGTAAGATGGCTTTCATAGGCATGAATTACATTTGTATGAAGCGCCAAGTGTTATGAGCCCGTGTAGATTACTACAGTCATGGTTTTGAACATAATTTTTAAAGGCGTGGACCGGCAAGCCAGCGGAAGGCCTCGGTCAGATAATCAAAAGCTCCAAGGGCGGGTCATCTAAGACCCGCGTCAGAAAACACTTGTCCTGTTTCTAGACGAACCTTACCTAACCTAATGGCTTTGAATCATGATTTGTATATGATTTGATTAAAAATGGAGCAACATGTTTTTTCAATGGACTTAGTTATTCCCATTGGGTTGTACCTGTCTTCAGGTCACCTTCCTCAGAATACCTTAGTAATCATCACATTCCTCAGGTAGGAATCATAAATGTAGGATTGATCATGACGCCTGGTGTAGTATGGCCCACATTTATTTAGCAGTAAATCAAGGCCGTGATCCTTAACTGTTGTAGCATAACCATTTATTGCCTAGATGCTTTAACTGGATTAATTATGATGAATTTGTGTAATTAGCATATGTGCAGTGTTTTATGTAATCTCTCCAAACCTCCTTTTCACCATATTTATTTTTTGTCGTTTACTCTCCTTCTGTGAGTGCCAGTATCAACACTGCACTAATTGTGCATCAAGAGGATCCTCTTTGCTGCACTTTGGCCAAGTCGAAATTTCCTGAAAATTCATGGCGCATTTCGATCATACAAAAAATTACACCTAAGATGGTTAGTCATTTATCAGTGCTGGAGAGGAAGGTGGTGTGATAAAAGGTTAGACTCTATAACCATTATTGCATTTAAGGATTTTATCTTTGCCAGGGAGAAGACAACATAGAATACTTCTTGGGTCTGACTCCTTCAGGAGTAATTGTACTCCGGAACAAAGCTAAGGTCGGCAACTACTACTGGTGAGTCTGGTACACTTCATTCCACCTGGACAGTAGTCACTCACTCATTATTTAGGTGTTTTATTTATTTATGTTTTTTTATATAATTTGTTTTCTTGAAGGCACACAATATTTACCTAGGTAAAGCTCAATAAAGTTATTGTAACTTAATTCACTGGCGTCCTTGGGAGTTGATAATAATAATAAAATATAAAATGGTGTGGAAGTTTGGCTAAACATTATGAATAGTTTTTGGGGAGCATTTGTTTTTCTAAACTTTTAAATGTTTTTTTTATAATTTTAAAAATTCTTAAGTAATTTTGGCTATTGTTGGAGACTTCTATCTCCTTCAACATCCATCATCTGCAAACCAATTTTATGTCCAATTAATTTACTGTACTTTCAAAAAAGTTTTTCAACATTTTATTTAGCTTTCAATGATATTTTCTTCATACTGGAAGATTTTAACAAAACTTTTTGAAATTTTGCCTTTGGCTTGAACATAAAGACCGATATGACATACATGTCAACCACAGTAGTTAATATTTAAAATACACGAGTCATATTTTATGTAAATATTGAGTGGAATGTCGTGAATTTATAAAAGTTCAATTGAGTTGCTACCAGAGATTTCTAGAAAGATATTTACAATAAGTTTGTGTCAAACTAAATCGTGAAATAAATAAATAAATAAATAAATATATATATATATATATATATATATATATATATATATATATATATATATATATATATATATATATATATATATATATATATATATATATATATATATATCAGGATTGCAGGTTGAGTTTACATAGTATATTAATTGTTAAAATTCCTTTCACGAGTTATTTTTACAAGTATAGTTCATAAATACTTAGCTAATTGATTATTTGTTTTGCATACAATACAAAGTTAATAAAGTGTTGTTTTGCAGGCCCAGAATATCCAAAGTGTACTTCCGTGGTCGCTTCTTCATGCTTCGTGTACGAGACAAGAATGTAAGTTAGTACACAGTGCTCCCACCAACTGCCACAAACACACACTTAAATTATATAGGTGAAATTTGAAAATAATTAATACTCTAGTATTTCTGGTACTTGTCCAAACTATGTCAAGTTTAGTAAGTGGCCCGGTGGCCTGGTGGCTAAAGCTCCCGCTTCACACACGGAGGGCCCGGGTTCGATTCCCGGCGGGTGGAAACATTTCGACACGTTTCCTTACACCTGTTGTCCTGTTCACCTAGCAGCAAATAGGTACCTGGGTGTTAGTCGACTGGTGTGGGTCGCATCCTGGGGGACAAGATTAAGGACCCCAATGGAAATAAGTTAGACAGTCCTCGATGACGCACTGACTTTCTTGGGTTATCCTGGGTGGCTAACCCTCCGGGGTTAAAAATCCGAACGAAATCTTATCTTATCTTATCTTATCTTAAGTGTATTCAGGTACACATAAATATAGATAAATTTTCATACATATTAGCATATGTATAGATTACCTAGGATAACCCAAGAAAGTCAAAGTAACTTATTTCCACTGGGGTCCTTGACAGTACAATATATTTTGCTTAATAACAATGCAGGGAAATATAGGAAAACAGCAGTTGAATGAACGAAGGTGACTTTTCTGAGGGATCATGCTGCCTTGAACATGTCCATTTCAGTTAAAAAAAAATATTCAAAACTAACGTTTATTATTTTTATTAACACATCGGCCGATTCCCACCAAGGCAGGGTGGCCCGAAAAAGAAAAACTTTCACCATCATTCACTCCATCACTGTCTTGCCAGAAGGGTGCTTTACACTACAGTTTTTAAACTGCAACATTAACACCCCTCCTTCAGAGTGCAGGCACTGTACTTCCCATCTCCAGGACTCAAGTCCGGCCTGCCGGTTTCCCTGAACCCCTTCATAAATGTTACTTTGCTCACACTCCAACAGCACGTCAAGTATTAAAAACCATTTGTCTCCATTCACTCCTATCAAACACGCTCACGCATGCCTGCTGGAAGTCCAAGCCCCTCGCACACAAAACCTCCTTTACCCCCTCCCTCCAACCTTTCCTAGGCCGACCCCTACCCCGCCTTCCTTCCACTACAGACTGATACACTCTTGAAGTCACTCTTGTTTTGCTCCATTCTCTCTACATGTCCGAACCACCTCAACAACCCTTCCTCAGCCCTCTGGACAACAGTTTTGGTAATCCCGCACCTCCTCCTAACTTCCAAACTACGAATTCTCTGCATTATATTCACACCACGCACATTGCCCTCAGACATGACACCTCCACTGCCTCCAGCCTTCTCCTCGCTGCAACATTCATCACCCATGCTTCACACCCATATAAGAGCGTTGGTAAAACTATACTCTCATACATTCCCGTCTTTGCCTCCAAGGACAAAGTTCTTTGTCTCCACAGACTCCTAAGTGCACCACTCACCCTTTTCCCCTCATCAATTCTATGATTCACCTCATCTTTCATAGACCCATCCGCTGACACGTCCACTCCCAGATATCTGAATACATTCACCTCCTCCATACTCTCTCCCTCCAATCTGATATCCACTCTTTCGTCACCTAATCTTTTTATCCTCATCACCTTACTCTTTCCTATATTCACTTTTAATTTTCTTCATTTACATACCCTACCAAATTCATCCATCGACTTCTGCAACTTCTCTTGAGAATCTCTCAAAAGCAGTCATCAGCAAAGAGCAACTGTGACAACTCCCACTTTGTGTGATTCTTTATCTTTTAACTCCACACTTCTTGCCAAGACCCTCACATTCACTTCTCTTACAACCCCATCTATAAATATAATGAACAACCACGGTGACATCACACATTCTTGTCTAAGGCCTACTTTTACTGGGAAATAATCTCCCTCTCTCCTACATACTCTAACCTGAGCCTCACTATCCTCGTAAAAACTCTTCACTGATTTCAGTAACCTACCTCCTATACCATACACACCTGCAACATCTGCCACATTGCCCCCCTATCCACCATGTCATATCCCTTTTCCAAATCCATAAATGCCACAAAAACTTCTTTAGCCTTATCTAAATACTGTTCACTTACATGTTTCACTGTAAACACCTGGTCCTCACACCCCCTACCTTTCCTAAAGCCTCCTTGTTCATCTGCTATCCTACTCTCCATCTTACTCTTAATTCTTTCAGTAATAACTCTACCATACACTTTACCAGGTATACTCAACAGACTACTTCTATAATTTTTGCACTCTCCTTTATCCCCTTTGCCTTTATACAAAGGAACTATGCATGCTCTCTGCCAATCCCTAGGTACAGTACTTTACCCTCTTCCATACATTTATTAAATAATAGAACCAACCACTCTAAAACTACATCCCCACCTGCTTTTAACATTTCTATCTTTATCCCATCAATTCCAGCTGCCTTACCCCCTTTCATTCTACCCACTGCCTCACAAATTTCCCCCACACTCACAACTGGCTCTTCCTCACTCCATCTTCCCGATACCTTTAAATATCCATTTAATAACTCTCCTCTCCAATTTTTAACTGTCAAATCCATTTGTTCCCTAGGCTTCCTCAACTTATTAATCTCACTCCAAAACTTTTTCTTGTTTTCAACAAAATTGGTTGATAAAGTCTCGCCCACTCTCTCATTTGCTCTCGTTTTAGATTGCTTCACCACTCTATTAACCTCTCTTTTTCTCTCCATATACTCTTCCCTCCTTGCATCACTTCTACTTTGTAAAAACCTCTCATATGTTAACTTTTTCTCCCTTACTACTGTCTTTACATCATTCCACCAATCACTTTTCTTTCCTCCTGCACCCACTTTACTGTAACCACAAACTTCTGCTGAACAATCTTAACACTACATTCTTAAACCTACCCCATACATCTTCGACCCCAGTGCCTATACTCTCACTAGCCCATCTATCCTCCAATAGTTGTTTATATCTTATCCTAACTGCCTCCTCTTTTAGTTTATACACCTTCACCTCTCTTACTTGGTGCCTCTATTTTCCTTGTATTCCATCTATCTTTTACTCTCACTGTAGCTACAACTAGAAAGTGATCGGATATATCTGTGGTCCCTCTATAAAGATGTACATCCTGAAGTCTACTCAACAGTCTTTTATCTACCAATACATAGTCCAACAAACTACTGTCATTACGCCCTACATCATATCTTGTATACTTATTTATCCTCTTTTTCTTAAAATACGTATTACCTATAACTAAACCCCTTTCTATACAAAGTTCAATCAAAGGGCTCCCATTACCATTTACACCTGGCACCCCAAACTTACCTACCACACCCTCTCTAAATGTTTATCCTACTTCGGCATTTAGGTCCCCTACGACAATTACTCTCTCGCTTGGTTCAGAGGGTCCTATACATTTGCTTAACATCTCCCAAAATCTCTCTCTCTCTCCTCTACACTCCTCTCTTCTCCAGGTGCTTACATCCTTATTATGACCCACTTTTCACATCTGACCCTTATTTTAATCCATATAATCCTTGAATTTACACATTTATATTCCCTCTTCTCATTCCATAACTATTCCTTCAACATTATTGCTACCCCTTCCTTAGATCTAACTCTCTCAGATACTCCTGACTTAATCCCATTTATTTCTTCCCACTGAAACTACCCCCTTCAGCTTTGTTTCGCTTTGGGCTAGGACATCCAACTTCTTTTCATTCATAACATCGGCAATCATCTCTTTCTTATCATCCGCACTACATCCACGCACATTCAAGCATCCCAGTTTTATAAAGTTATTCTTCTCATTTTTAGTAAATGTGTACAGAAGGGGTTTCTAGCCCATTGCTCCCGGCATTTTAGTCGCCTCATACGACACGCATGGCTTACGGAGGAAAGATTCTTTTCCATTTCCCCATGGGCAGTAGAGAGAAAAAAACAAGAACAAGAACAAGAGCTATTAATTAAAAGAAGAAAAACCATAGATGTGTGTATGTATATAGTATATGCATGTGCATGCCTGTGTAGTGTGACCTAAGTGTAAGTAGAAGTAGCAAGATATACCTGTTATCCAGCGTGTTTATGAGACAGACTATGTACTACATTTTGGTCTGCCCTGAGCCATTATGTTGAGGTTCAACATACTATGTTTTATTTTAGATATATTTTGGTCTTGGGACCTCGGTTACTCCAAATATACATGGGATATGAGAAACAGAGGTTTATGCTATAGACAAAGGTACACATGAAGTAAGGTGAACTGTAGCAAGGTCAGCTGAGCTAGCACAGCACTGAGGGGACTAATCATTGCCATGCTGAAATATTCCTCTATGGCCTATCATCTGTGGTAGAGGGAATGCCTCCTCGCTGATATGCAAGCTTCCTTGCAAAACATTTGTCGTGACTCCTGTCCACTTTCCACATGGAACATTCAGGAGATTCCATGTCTTAGTACATATAAACTTTGGGAATAAATGCATGGCTTCCTTTGACATAACGTCTCTCTTCATTTTAATATTTCCTTCTTAAATAGGCAGAATTATGTTACTCAGAACAATCATTGTATTTGATAATCTTACCTTTAAACAACTTAGTTGCATATGTTAAACTTAGCATTTGCATAACTACCTTTAGGTAATCAGTGTAAAGTATACTATGTAATTTTAAGTTCTAATTTTAGTCTGCCCAAAATTCTTTGCAGAATAAAGGGCCTTTCCTTGTAAGAAATTATAAATGTTGAACAATCTCTTAACATAAATGTATCTTGTAATCTTTTATTAATTTTTTCCTTTTATTAATTGTAGATTCAATAAGTGTCATTCACACACATTATTTTATCACTTGACTAAGATGCAGATCTTACAGAACTCTCAGCTTCACTTGGACATAGTCACCTCTTTTATAAAGCATTTTTACATAGTGTGATTATGTGTAAAATACAACTGAAAAAGTACATCCAAAATTGAATAGCTTGTGGAATGGCTTTCATACTACACGTTGTGCAATTTTGGATGTAAATTTTTAATCATATTTGCAAAAAAAAAAAAAAAAATATATATAGACCAGGTTTGCAAGAGCTGACCATAGTATTTCCACAACATGCAAGTCAGGCTTCTCCAAAACAGCAGCATTATATTACACTGTTTTGCCTTGTATATGTTTTTTTCTACATCAGTTTCTTCCTCTGAGTAATATTATAGGAATAATTAATATAATGAAAATGTGTCTACTATTTAGATAAGGCTAAAGAGGTCTTTGTGGCATTTATGGATTTGGAAAAGGCGTATGACAGGGTGGATAGGGGGGCAATGTGGCAGATGTTGCAGGTGTATGGTGTAGGAGGTAGGTTGCTGAAAGCAGTGAAGAGTTTTTATGAGGATAGTGAGGCTCAAGTTAGAGTATGTAGGAAAGAGGGAAATTATTTTCCAGTAAAAGTAGGCCTTAGACAAGGATGTGTGATGTCACTGTGGTTGTTTAATATGTTTGTAGATGGGGTTGTAAGAGAAGTAAATGCGAGGGTCTTGGCAAGAGGCGTGGAGTTAAAAGATAAAGAATCACACATAAAGTGGGAGTTGTCACAGTTGCTCTTTGCTGATGACACTGTGCTCTTGGGAGATTCTGAAGAGAAGTTGCAGAGATTGGTGGATGAATTTAGTAGGGTATGCAAAAGAAGAAAATTAAAAGTGAATACAGGAAAGAGTAAGGTTATGAGGATAACAAAAAGATTAGGTGATGAAAGATTGGATATCAGATTGGAGGGAGAGAGTATGGAGGAGGTGAATGTATTCAGATATTTGGGAGTGGACGTGTCAGCGGATGGGTGTATGAAAGATGAGGTGAATCATAGAATTGATGAGGGGAAAAGGGTGAGTGGTGCACTTAGGAGTCTGTGGAGACAAAGAACTTTGTCCTTGGAGGCAAAGAGGGGAATGTATGAGAGTATAGTTTTACCAACGCTCTTATATGGGTGTGAAGCATGGGTGATGAATGTTGCAGCGAGGAGAAGGCTGGAGGCAGTGGAGATGTCATGTCTGAGGGCAATGTGTGTGGTGTGAATATAATGCAGAGAATTCGTAGTTTGGAAGTTAGGAGGAAGTGCGGAATTACCAAAACTGTTGTCCAGAGGGCTGAGGAAGGGTTGTTGAGGTGGTTCGGACATGTAGAGAGAATGGAGCGAAACAGAATGACTTCAAGAGTGTATCAGTCTGTAGTGGAAGGAAGGCGGGGTAGGGGTCGGCCTAGGAAAGGTTGGAGGGAGGGGGTAAAGGAGGTTTTGTGTGCGAGGGGCTTGGACTTCCAGCAGGCATGCGTGAGCGTGTTTGATAGGAGTGAATGGAGACAAATGGTTTTTAATACTTTACGTGCTGTTGGAGTGTGAGCAAAGTAACATTTATGAAGGGGTTCAGGGAAACCGGCAGGCCGGACTTGAGTCCTGGAGATGGGAAGTACAGTGCCTGCACTCTGAAGGAGGGGTGTTAATGTTGCAGTTTAAAAACTGTAGTGTAAAGCACCCTTCTGGCAAGACAGTGATGGAGTGAATGATGGTGAAAGTTTTTCTTTTTCGGGCCACCCTGCCTTGGTGGGAATCGGCCAGTGTGATAATAAAAAAAAAAATATGTCTAGCATTTTTGCCAGCTTTTCATAATAGTTATTCTTCCTCTTGCTGTTCTTATTACTCCAACCAATTTCTTACTTATTTCATTCTCTACCCCATTTCAGGTACTGTTTGTAGCTCACATTATCAGTTTATTTTTTCACCTCTCACACAGAATTCTGAGAACACTTATGGGTTTGAGACGCCAAGTAAGGCAGCATGTAAGCACTTGTGGCAATGCTGTGTAGAGCATCATGCATTCTTCAGGCTGACACAGGCCTCGGGCAACTCTCCAGCTGCTATCTTCTCCCTCGGCTCCAAGTTCAGGTACAGGTACGATCCATGTGTCTGGCGAGACAGGTCTAGATACCACTAATTACTGAAAATTGAAGTTTCATTAATTGATTGCTGTGAGGATTGACAAGGGAATTTAATGGGAATATGTGATAGTGTGAATGAGGGTGAAAGTGTATCCTTTTCACCCTGCCTCGGTGGGAGACGGTCAGCAGTTAAAAAAAAAAAAAAGTTTGTGTACAGTATACTGTACATTGTTTCTGTATATAAAATATGTTAGCTGAAAGTTTTCTTTCATATTACCTGTAAAATTAGTTTGTTTAATACAGTGGACCCCTGACATTCGATATTAATCCATTCCTGAGAGCTCATCGAATGTCGAAAATATCGAAAGTCGAATTAATTTTCCCCATAAGAAATAATGGAAATCAAATTAATCTGTGCAAGACACCCAAAAGTATGAAAAAAAAAAATTTACCACATGAAATATTAAGTTTAATGCAATAGAATAATTACAATAACAACAATAACAATAGATTAATAACAATAAAATAATAGACACTTAACCCATAAACGGTCCAAGCAGATCTACATTCACGTGTAGTGCTATAAAAGTAGATCTATGTTTTTTTACATATTTTCAAATAAAAAAAAAAAGTAGATCAAAGTTTTTTACACATTTTTAAATGTAAAAAACAAAAAGAAGATCTACTTCTTTTACATATTTTCAAATGTTGAAAAAACGTACATGTACGTTTGGACCGTTACGGGTTAATGAAGATCTGGTGGTGATTGATGGGAAGGGAGGAGGGGAGAGTGTGGATGGTGTTAGTGTTTAGAAGGGGAATCCCCTTCCATTAGGACTTGAACTGGCAGCCTCACCATGCCTTACCACACTGTGTATGCCACTACGATTCTTAAATCTTTCAAACTAACCTTTGCTGGCCTTAAATTCACTCTCATCACCACTAGTTGCAGGCAATTTCTTTACCAAATCATCATGCACTCCGACACACGCACTCCACTTTCGTACTTTGCAATTATCTCTTTCTTCATTTCAATAGTCATTAGTGCCTTTTTTCTCGAAGGGTTGGCACTAGAAGCTTTCTTGGGGCCCATGGTTACTTATTTTGCAAAAACAAGCACCAAAAACAGTGATAATATGGAATATACCGAATGTATCCTTAGATGCACACACACTGGCTGGCTTGTAAACACTGGCACACACGAGGCAGTTCAGGCCACACGTGGACACGTCTCGTACGAATCGTATTGAATGTCGAGGCGAAATTTTTGTTAAAATGCATCAAATATCGGATTTATCGAATGTCGATGCCATCGAATGTCGGGGGTCCACTGTGCTTCTAATCCTTAACATTTAATTTAAATATAGTATCTTGGAAAGAGTGTTAGAAACCTTCCTCTGTAGCAAAGAGTGTTGAAGGTTACCAGTGTCTGGATCAAGGGGCTGCATTACCAGAAGAAAAAGGAGAATTTTAGTAAGTTTAATTGAATATGATTGGGTGTAATGCAGATGTTAAGAAATGATTGATTAATAATGCAGTAAACTTCAGGCTGATTTCCCTAGAATTGATTAATGAAGTTGATGGACGAGTTTGAATCTGTTTGAGGAATTAAATCGAATGTATCCAAAAGAATGAGAACAAAATGAATGGTAATAATGTTTAATGAGCAGTTGCTGAAATAAAAAAAATGGGTACAAATGTTTAAATTTAGAAAATTTTGTTTTAGAATAAAAATGAGATGTGAGAAGTGGATCATAGTAACTCTTCCTTAGGTTTGGAGATTCTGGAAGGTGTTAAAGGCATTTTGAGCCAACTGAGAATTTTTATGAGATCTTAATGTTGAAGCTTGAGACACTCTCACTCTGCACAGTGTCTTGGTGATGTCAGATGTCAGTTTTGTAAATAATATTTAGGTCTTGTTCCAAAAAAAATGATTTTGATAAGAATTTTACTAATTTGTACTTGGGAATAATTGATGTTATGAAAACAAATACTAAATTAGTTATAACTTTATTTAGAAATTTCCTGTTGGCATGTATCTTACATCAACTTGTAGCTACAACCATCCACTATAAGGAATAAGGATTTTATTTCTTTGCATAGTTTACAGTGTGTAATTGCAATTTTGACTTGCTAAGTACAAAGAAAGTCATTATCATACCAGGGCATTTCAGGCAGACTAAACTTAATGCTTAACAGACTACTTAATGCTAGGCATGTACGTATTTCATAGTTGGTTCGAATTGAACATTGTTTTTTTGTTTCAACAGAGGTAGTAATGGTTTAGCAGTAATTGAATTAACAAGTACTGTAATTGATTGATTACATAATAAGATTGAGACCATTTTATTTTTTAAATAATCTTATAATATTTGGAAATTATTGAGTTGATTGTGGCGATAATATATAGTGTTTTGTTAATTTTGGGAGATGAGGTGATTTTTAAGCAGAGCCTTGAATTTGTGTGCAGGCAGGGACCCTTTTGTATGTTCAGGCAATGAATTCCAGATCTTAGGGCCTACTGTTTTGGAGATTTTTTTTTTTGGAGATATGCTGTATGTGGGGTCTGAAATTTAAGACAGCTGTCAATGTGGAGCCCTAGAAATTTTCCATCAGCGTGTTTTAAAATGGGGGAACCATTTATTAGTATGTTTAGCTGAATATTTGCAGCTGTTTCCAAACAGTATGAAGTAGGTTTTGTCAATATTAAGAGTAAGTTTGTTGGTCATCATCCAAGTGGATATTTTTAGTAGCTCATCATTTACAGTGTTTCTAAGTATGGTTTAATTTGGGTGAGAGAAGATATAAGTATGTAGTGTCATCTGCAAAAAAGAACAGGTTTAAGTAGTTTAGAAGCATTAGGGAGTCATTGATGTAAATGAGAAAGATTTGTTTTAGCCTTTTCCATCTCCAGATTTTTTCACCAGTTTGGAATCTGGTGCATCTAACAGTTAATAGACCAGAAATCTTAACATAAGCACTAGTCAGAAATTATAGAGCATTTAACTAATTGAATTCATCACCTGCTTACTAAATGCTAGAAATTTCTTACTTCATGTTTCAAAATTCACTTTGCAGTATATGCAATGTTTCTTTTGCAGTTTTTCTTTTGACCTGCGTAATTTGTTTTGCAGTGGTCGAACAGAAAAGGAAGCAGTACAAGATGCTAAGCTAGGCTCACGGACACAACCAGAGTTCACCAGAATGCCCAGTAGGAGGTACCAGCGGCGTATTGTTGAGGGTGCACAGGACAGTAAGTCTTGCCATATCCAAGTTAATTAACAAACAAACAAATTTTATTTCTTTGCAAGATTACATTAAGATTATGAAATTACAATAATGAATTGCAGTGCAAAGAGAGCCACTATCATCCCTAGGCATTATGGGCAGACATAATTTAATGGCTTACAGACTACTTAATACTAAAGAAATTGATCATAGTTTGTCTAAGTTGTACATCTTTTTTTTTCTTTATAGTAGACAGTAATTTTACTCTAATTACAATAGTTTCAATAATGAATATTGAAATTATATTATGGGAATATAACATTATGGGTTGTAGAAAATAGTCTACAGTATGAGAATGTTTTGGGCAAGGCAGTGTTGTTTTGGGCAGTATTTGTTTTGTAGTATTAATAATGTGTGAACTTTGGGGTTCTAGATTTGAAGTTTTAAGATTTAGGTAATTGGGAGATTTTTGGAAAAGGTAAATATTGAGTATTGGGTATTTAGTTTAGGGTGAGTAGGTGGTTTTTGAGAAGAGGCTTAAATTGGTGATCAGACCTGGTTACTTTAGTATTTACTGGTAATGAATTCCAAATTTTGGGGCCCTTTATGTGCAAAAAGTTTTTACACAGTGAGATATGGACACGGGGCACATCAAAAAGAGATCTGTGTCTTGTATTGTGGTCGTGTGTCCTGTTAAGGTTAGTGAAGTTTGAGTGAAGGGTTTATGTTTGAGTGTAGTGTTCTATGTATGTAGTAGGCACACAAATAAGTATGGATGTTCTTAACGGTGAGCAGTTTTAGATTTTTGAATATTGGTGGAGTATGCTGTTGGGAGTGGGAATTTATCATTCTGACTGCAGCCTTTTGCTGGGTTATTAGGGGTCTTAGGTGATTTAATATGGTTGATCCCCATGCACAAATTCCATATGTGAGATAAGGGTATATGAGTGAATGATACAGTGCAAGGAGAGCTGATTGTGGAACATAGTACCATATCTTTGATAGTATGCCTACTGTCTTGTAGATTTTCTTAGAAATTAGTTGTATGTGTGTCTGGAATTTGAGACTGCTGTCAAGGTGGATTCCTAGGAATTTTCTCTCTGCGAGTCTTGTGATGGGTGATCCGTTTAGCGTTATGTTTAGTGGAACATTTGCAGCTCTGTTTCCAAACAGAATGAAATAGGCTTTGTCAGTATTGAGGGTAAGCTTATTTGTCATTATCCAGGTAGATATTTTCTGCAGTTTGGCATTAACAGTGTTAGCCAGTATGACTGGGTTTGGGTGAGAGAAGACGTATGTTGTGTCATCTGCAAATAATATGGGTTTCAGTAGTTGTGATGCATTTGGTAGGTCATTGGTGTAAATGAGAAAGAGGAGTGGGCCAAGGACACTTCCTTGTGGGACACTGACTGTAATTGGTTGAGTGGAAGAATTTACTCCATTTGTGTACACATATTGGCTTCTGTTACTAAGGTATGACTTTAGGTGTCGAGGGAACGCCCTCTTATAGCATAGTGTGTTAATTTAATGTGCAGCAAATAATGGTCAGCTTTATCAAAAGCTTTACGTAAATCAATGAAGATTCCAAGTGGGACTTCTTTCTTCTTGAGAGCAGTGTATATTAGTTTTAGCATGTGTATAATAGCATCATTTGTACTTTTATTAGTCCTGAATCCAAACTGACAGGGTTTTAGTATGTTGTGTGAGATGAGGTAGGAATAGATCTGTCTATGAATTAATTTTTCAAAGATTTTAGAGAGCAGAGGTAGGTTAGATATTGGTCTATAGTTATTCAAGTCAGTTTGATCGCCTCCTATTCCACTGTTCGACTTCCTGACAACTCTGTGACTGAAGAAATACTTTGTAACATCCCTTTGACTCATCTGAGTCTTCAACTTCCAATTATTTGATTATCAGTTAAACATCCTGGTAAGGTTCACATTATAAAGTTATGCCCACTGGTAAAACTTGAATATATGATGCTGTTCTTTTGATATTTCTGTATTTTTTATTTATGTTAAATTCTAAACTCTGGGGGGGGGGGGGGGGGCTCATTCATGAAGTGCAAGGAGTGGTAGAAGCTTGGCTCTCCATCTGCTTAGCGAGAAACAGATGCGTTGTCATTTGGCATACATCTAATTAGATAATATTTCTAATAAATTTATGTTAAATTTATAAATGCTTGATTAACTGATTGATTTCTGAGTATCTTGCTCAGTAGCTAACCCTGCTCTTGCTGCTCTGAATATGCCATCTTTGCTCACTGTAAATAAAGCATTACCATGTGTGTGTGTGTGTGTGTGTGTGTGTGTGTGTGTGTACGTACTCGCCTATTAGCGTGCTGGTGTGTGTTTGTACTCACCTAATTGTGGTTGCAGGGGTCAGTACTCAGCTCCTGGCTCCGCCTCTTCTCTGGTTGCTGCTAGGTCCTCTCTCTCTCCCTGCTCATGAGCTTTATCATACCTCATCTGAAAACTATGTATGGTTCCTGCCTCCACTACATCACCTGCCAAACTATTCCACTTCCTGACAACTCTGTGACTGAAGAAATACTTCCCAACATCCCTTTGACTTGTCTGAGTCTTCAACTACCAATTTTGACCCCTTGTTTCTGTGTCCCATCTCTGGAACATCCTGTCTCTGTCCACCTTATCTATTCTTCGCATTATTTTGTATGTCGTTATCATGTCTCCCCTAACCCTCCTGTCCTCCAGTGTCGTTAGGCCGATTTCCCTTGATCTTTCTTTGTAGGACATTCCCTTAGCTCTGGAACTAGTCTGGTTGCAAACCTTTACACTTTCTCTAATTTCTTGACATGCTTGGCCAAGTGTGGGTTTCAAACTGGTGCTGCATACTCCAGTATGGGCCTGATGTACATGGTGTACAGAGTCTTGAACAATTCCTTACTGAGGTATCGGAACGCTATTCTCAGGTTTGCTAGGCGCCCATATGCTGCAGCAGTAATCTGGTTGATGTGTGCTTCCAGAGACGTGCTCGGTAATATACTCGCCCAAGATCTTTCTCGTTGAGTGAAGTTTGCAGTCTTTGGCTGCCTAGCCTATACTCTGTCTGCAGTCTTCTTTACCCTTCCCCGATCTTCATGACTTTGCATTTGGTGGGGATAAATTAGAGGAGCCAGTTGCTGGACCATGCATCCAGCCTGTCCAGGTCTCATTGTAGTCCTGCCTGATCCTCATCTGATTTAATTCTCCTCATTAACTTCACATCATCTGTGAACAGGGACACTTCTGAGTCTATCCCTTCCATCATGTCATTCACATATTCCAAAAATAGAACTTTTCCTAGGACTGACCCCTGTGGGACCCCACTCGTCACAGGCACCCACTGTGATACCTCATCACTTGCCATGACTCGTTGTTGCCTCCCTGTCAGATATTCTCTGATCCATTGCAGTGCCCTTCCTGTTATGCATGCCTGATCCTCTAGCTTTTGCACTAATCTCTTGTGAGGAACTCCTGTCCAATGTCCTATGTCGTCATAGGAAATTCCCCTTAGCTCTGGAACTAACCTTGTCGCAAACCTTTGCGCTTTCTCTAATTTCTTAACGCGCTTGACCTGGTGCGGGTTCCAGACTGGTGCTGCATACTCCAGTATGGGCTTGACATACACGGTGTACAGTGTGTGAGTGTGAGAGAGTGACAGACAGACACAGACACAGTTAATATTTGTACTTATAACTCATTACAATTGTGACCAGGTGTGGAAATGTGAATGGCTCATTACTTCAAATCAAATCAAAGTTTATTCTCTATAAGGATTACAATGTGGGGTTTACATACTTTGGTTATTATGTGGTTTACATGTAATAAAATACTAATTACAGAGGGGGGGCCACTAGAACACCTAGCATGGCTAGGCCTTTTGGGCAAACTTAGATTAATTCTTAACCCTAAATTATTACAAGTTGTGGAGTAAGTTGACTAAATACTAAGTGACTAAATACTAGTTTGTGAGTTTAGCAATGTGAATGATTTTGTTTTGGCACAATACATAGTTTCTATATTGGAGTATCACAGGCAAACTTGTGACTAGTTAGGAATCATTATTTTAAGATTAAGATATGTATTTCTGTGCTTATAGTTAAATGGGTGAGTGAGTGAGTGCAAGTGTGAACCACCAGGTGGTTTTTATGTAGTTAGTTGACGGGGTGTATCAGGAAGATAAGATGTTTTCTAACGGTAGTTTTGAAGGTGATGAATGTGTCTGCAGTTCTAGAGTTTTCAGGTAGAGTGTTCCAGATTGTAATTTGTTCGTGATTGTAGCTATACATAGATGTGTAGATGATTCATTACATTTGTAACTTGTAATGATTGTGACCACATTTACCCTTGTAACTTGTCATGATTGTGACCAAATCTAACTTTGGGGTTCAGTCCCTGTACCCATTATGTACCTCTGTAATCTTTTGACTACCGCCCACAAGATGGGTATGGGGTGCATAATAAACATATTAACCCTTTCAGGGTCACCAGGCCCTCTCCGAGACTTGTTCTCAGGGTCGCCGAAATTTCGAAAAAAAAAAAAATTCTTATGAAAAGATAGAGAATCTTTTCCCGATAATAATGTCACCAAAAGTATGAAATTTGATGGAAAACTTACGGAATTATGCTCTCACGAAGTTAGCAGTCTCTACGATGTTTATGCATAGGCGATTTTGCCCACTTTGAGCCCTATTTTCGGCCAATTCCAGAGTACTAGTCGACAAAAATCATAACTATTTCGCTAGAACTCCATTTTTTCTATCGAATGAGTACAAGAAACCACCCATTTACCAGTTTCAACTATCCAATACAGTGGTCAGAATTTAGCAATTTTGCCAATTTCACACAAATTTCAAAGGATGCCAATTTCCAAATAGGGTCCAGAATAAACAAGAAAGACATTCCTGGCACTAAAATAACATTTTCTCTGTTCACTAGTCACGTCCCCATGCCCCTCTTACATTCTTTTGCTTTCCACTTTGAATTTTTATTCTCACAAAAAATAGAAGATCTACTGTTATGC